TGACTTCCCCCACCCCTCCCAAAATGTTTGGAAAACTTATTTCCCTCACCTTACTGCAATTAAAACTGTGCTACATTCTCACCTTCCAGAGTCGGACATTTTTACAGCATTGCTTTCTTCACATATATTTATCCAAAGTTAGATTGTTCTGGTTCAGGGCTGAGACAACAGTAACTTTGCACATAGGTATGAGCCATCTAAATTGAGCTCTGTGATCTATTCTTTAAGACACCATGAAGATCTAATTCATGGGTTGGCTGAATATTCAACTCGTGACTGTGAAGTCTCCCAACCAGCTCAGTGTGTGAAATGAAAAGCTCTCTTCTAGCTTATATCCCATAAACTTTGAGCCAAGGGTCCTTTCCATCTAGGTCTATAGCTTCTAGCCTACCTAGTGCCTGGACTTTGCAGATGATCAGTAAATGGAAGCTAGATGAGTAAATTATAAATCTCGTTTATCAGTTATGGTGTCAGTTATGACCGTGTCCAACAGTTATGACGTGTCTTCCTTTTAACTTCATTTCACTCCTAACTTCACTGAGGAAGTATGTCCTGTAAGGATGGAAGGTCATATGACAGACCTCGTCTTTCCCTTTGACTAAAGAAGTTGCAGACTGTATGGAAATCTCTCCTCCGTGTTTCTGAGTGGTTGACTGTGGATGGTGAGAATGAGTCTCTGATGCCCAAGAATGCAGATGTTTGGCTAAGTAGCCTTGAAAACATAAGTTTGGACATAGGTAGATTTGAGGATCTTGTGGCCCTAAAGTTCTTTACCTGAAATACTTAACTATTGCTCTTAAAACAAACCCCTCAAGTTTCTTTTCATGCCTATAAATCTATGTAGAGTAATGGTTCTTACCTAGTCTGCACATTGGAGTCACCTTGGGAGCTTTAAAACCTGTTGATGCCTGGATCCCATCCCAGATTTCTGATTTAATTGGCCTGGGGTGTGGCTTCATCATAGGGGATTTGAACATTTCCCTGGTGAAACTAATATGCAGCTGTGGTGGATAACTGCAGTACACAGTACTGTATTTTTAAATACTCAAAAGGTTAGAACTCTAGCTATGGCTTGTTGTTATATCATTATTATTTTTTAAGTTTTTCATGCTAAGAATATTTTGCAGTGTCAGTGAAAACTTACTATGCAGACTTTTGGACCCAGTCTTCTGATTCAGTACACTTTTGCTAATTTCCCCCCAAATCTTCATTTGTCAGGATATACCAGGTGCTTGGTGCACATGCTAACGCTCTGAAAAGGTCTCTGAAAAAGGCAACAGGGTTAGTTGGTTCTAACCCCACACTACTTGGTATGTGCATACCAAGATTAAGACCACTTAAAAAAAACAAAGCAACAGACCTTATATTTGTGAATTTTCATTAGTTCCTGGAATTCAAATTATATATTGGATTCAGTAAGAATTGCTGAATAAAAAGTATGAATCATCAGTGTGTCAGGACATTGACTGATGTAAATGCATTAGTGCATAGCTATCAACTTTATGTAAAAATAAGAACTTAAAAATATTCACTTAAATCTGTTGAATTCTACTTAAAGATGTTTGAACATTTCTAGATTGTAAGTGTGTTTACAAAAATACACCTACACTACTTGCAGCTTACAAAAATTCAGTCTGGGCTCTCTGAATGTTCTAAAGACTAGAAAATGAATCCAGTAAATGTTGGACAAGAAATAAATAAGATTAAAAAAATTCCTTGAGCTTTAGCAGCGGCATACATTTTAGTTTGAAAGACTCCTTGATGTAGCTTCAACTTCCTTGGGAATTTAAGGAAAGAAACTGAATTACTCAAACTGGAACTACATCAAAATGTCAAGTTAACACATTCTGGCTGGTCCTGCTGCCAAGGGATCTCGTGTCTGCACGATCTGGCCACGGGTTTCCAAATTGTTTCAAAGATAATGTCATTACGGGATGCTGAAGCTTTCATTTTTGTTTTTGCTTTTAGCTCTTTCCTATATGTGTTTTAACCCAGACTAATCAAAACTTGACAAAAATTACATTTTAATTAGAACAGCTGCAAAAAAGGAAACAGCTGCACAGAAAAAATGCAACACAAAAAAATCCAACACAAGTCCACAGTTTAAATAGTTTTCTCAAGACAGTCACTGATGCATCTGGAATCCTGTAAACTTAACTTGGGCTTTTCAGAGTGGAAATACTCCTGTTACACCTGAATGTCATAACCAAAGAACTTACCAGTGAATGCTGGTGAACAGCCGTTTTTTCTTGCAAATTTTCCTGGTTGCTACCCCCCTTTTTTCTTAGTATTCTGTCCCCTGCTCAGTAACTTTTCCATGAACTCCACACCTAATTCCTGGCCACCGGGAGGGTTTGTAACTTAGGTCAATCTCATCAAAGTGCTCATTTACACAGCTGGTCCAAAGGTTGGTTATATGACCCAAGCTGTGCTAATAAATGTTCTTTTGAGTTAGCAATTTAGACTGGGAGGAGAAGCGGCACCGATACAGGTGGGAGAAGGCATGGGAAAGTGGTAAAGGTAAGCCAGAGGCGCACCTGAGGAGAGCCTTTGTGTTTTCCAAAGAGGAATAGACAGAAAGTGAAATTCTGTGGGTACACAGAATCCTGGCACAGTGACTCTCGGGCCCTGCAGCTCCCTTTGATTCTCTGAGCTCTTCTAGGCATCCTTGCTTGCTCCAGGAACTAATCAACCCTCCTCTTGAGTAAAGCCATTCTGAATGTGTTTCTAGCATCTGCAGCTAAACTTCTCAGACTATCAGCTCAACTAATCCCACTTCTCATTTTACAGACAGACATACTGAGATTTAACTTGTTTAGGCCACACACTAGTTGAATTGCTTTTCTTTGATCTTCAAGTTACTGGCATATTATCCCTCAAGAAAAAGCTCAAGTTTGAGTGTTAGTGGTGTCTGTGTTTAGTAACCCCCCAGACTATATTCATAATTGGTCCCAGGTAGAATGTAAGTGACTAAGTAAACTGATGATAGTTTTTGGCTGAGAAAATACACTCCTAGTATTTGGGGGCCACCATCCTGCAGTTGAGTGTGCTGTGTCACAGCAGAGTCTTTCTGGGACCACAGCTCAAAGGGATGCAATTTCTACAAGCCTTCCAAGAATTGACTTTGTGGCATCTTGAATGAAGTGGAACAATTAAAACCAAGGAAAAAAAGCTCAAACTTTTTAAATAACTGCTTTGGAATTAGAAATCAATAGCAAAACACTAAATCAATTAAGTAACCAGCAGTCTACCATACAAAGAACATATTAATAAATGAACATCTAAATATGCTGCATGCTCACTCGGTGGCACCTCCAGAAACTCTACCACACTCAGAAGTTACAGAATACAGGGGTGACTGGGTGTCTGGCCCTAGTTCTTCACCCAAGCTGCATATGGCTTCACATTCTGCTTTGCAACTGTGGTGGGGCTGTCCATCGTGAGCAGACTCATGCCACCATCCAGCTTAACAGTCTTGTGCATAACTTTCTTTTGCTCTGTTGTTTTTTTTTTAAACATCACTGTAACATGTTAGCTTCACGTGTGTGCCATTCTAAATCACCACCATGGAGTACTTGAAATTCAGAGTCAAACTCTATCCTTCACCATATGACTGTCCCCTTTTACTCAACTGGCCAACTTCCTTCCCCTTCAGCTAGTTTGAGCTTATAATTTAAAATATTTTTTAACTTAGTTCCTTTCTTAATTTTATGTACCCATGAGTGAAATCAGGTATTTGAAGTATATCACCAAATACAATGTATGCTAGGTCCACTCTTGCTGCTAACAGTAGGATTCCATTTTATGAGTAGTATTGGAAAATACTACTGTGGAAAATACCATCATTTCTGTATCCAGTCATGTTGTTGGGGAACTCTGGTTGTTTTCAACTCTTGGGTATTAAAATTAATGCTGCAATGAACACAGGGTACCTTTCTCTTCAAGTTAGTGTTTTCCTGATCTCTGGGTAAATCTCCAGAAGTCAAGTACTGGATTGTATGATATTTCTGTTTTTCATTTTTTGAGGAATTACCATACTGCTTTCTGTAATGGGTGTACCAATGTACAAGGTTCCTTTTCACATCTCTTCAACATTTGTTGTTTCTTTTGGGGTAAGCCATTCTCACAGGTGTGAAGTGGTAGTTCATTGTTGTCTTGACTTCCACTTCCCTCACCAGAGATGATCATCTGTGTCTGCTGGCTCTCTATCACCTCTATCCAGATTCTCTGCTCATTTTTTTATTATCTCTTGAGTTTTGAATTCTCTATATATTTTGGACATGGAACACTTTGTCAGATGTATCATTTATTAAGTATCTAAGAACTTACTTTGACAAATTTAGTTAGAAAATCTAAAGATGCCCATCTGGATTGGTGGCTTTTACAATTCTGCCAATTCTCGGTGGGGATATACATATGTAGTTCCATTGTAAGCTTTTTGAATAGACAGTATTTGTATGTGCTATAAATTTTTTAAATACAATGAAAAATAAGCACTTACTATCAGAACCTCAACTTTGAACTTGGTCCCCTTCCCAGAAACTGATCACAAATATTTTGTGTAACCTTCCAAAGAAACTAGATATGAAGTCAAATAAGTATTTAAAAAAAAAAAAAATACAGAAACCAGACCAGCAAGGTAGGGGGTTCTGAATCAGGTTTGAAAACGCCTTCCTGAGAAGAATATAATTTTGAGAGTCCATTATTTTATAATCTAAGAGACAAAATACAGGCAGACCTATAAAGGACTTAACTAAAAGCATCTGTTATGTAGAACCATCTTTTAAGTCCTTGGTGCTTAAATGTTTGCAAGATGCATTCATTTATTTCAGGGTGGCAGCTGAAAAAAACAGATAAAGGATTGCTTCCTTTATTACTATGGTAATAAACTATTACTGCAATGTGTCCATCCTCAAACTGTTTGGCTTTAATTGGCAAGTTCTGTCTTTTAAAAACAAACACTTGAACATAGTAAAAGTAATTTTCATCTACTTCAGCATTTTAAAAATTAAATTCTCATTTTAACTTGCTTGGGACAGAGTTTAAAAAGTTCAAATGAAATTGTTAACCTACCTCTAACTTTTCACTCACAAAAATATTTAAATCTTTCATTTTCTTCTGAAACGGCAATAAACAAAACCAGTACTTAGCAAATTGAAAAATTTATTTACAAAACTTAATTTTGCTTTTTAGAGTCAATTCATGAAGAATAACTAACTCCCCATTCAAAGTCTATTACAATAATCTTTCACAGAACAGTTGGGGGAAAAACTTGCTAATAAATACTTTAAAACAAAATGTAAAAATAGGAACTTTAATTCCACTGACTAAAAAACAGACAATCGTTTACAGAGAAAAGAACATACTTGAGGGGAAAACTGGTGTTAACGTGTAAAGCACGAAATTTATATATCAGTTTAGTTCCTCATTGCCAACATGGCATTTATATCCCAGATGAGATTTCGTAATTGATCCATAATTTGCTTCAGCTGTTGATTCTTCTGTTTGAGTTTCTGTAGAAACAAAAATTTTTTCAAAATTGTTTTATGAAATCTAGATCATGAAGTTAGAAGATTAAAATGTCTTAAGTTAGGACTCGGATGATTCAGACAGAAATTAAGCGAAATCTTTCTTTAGGCAGAGGGCTTATTGCTTTCCTGGCCACAAATACTCACAGAAAGGCATTTAGAATTCTAACTTGGCCCGCTGAGGGGCCACTGGCTCCAGTCTCTGAAGCGCACAGCCGTTCCAGCAGGCAGTGGAACACGATGGTCTAGAAGCACAACTTCTAGAGCAGGTTTACACACAGTCCCTTCACTAACTAATAATCACTCAGTTGCTTCAGTTTCCATATAAAGTGTTAGAACTGTGGCTAGCAGGCAAGTCAGCGTTTACCAAATGATAGTGGTAGACATGGAACATAAGCTGCCAATAGAAAATTATAATAAAAATACAATTCCTGAATGCACATAGCATGTCTCTGTACCTTTACATTCAGGTTTGTAGTAAGGATTTGAAGCGCATGGTTTATAAACTCAGGAAATTTCCTATCTAGGAAATGTAAAATGAGACAAAAATAGAACTTTTGTTCAAATTGTCTCCTAGCTATAAATAATCATTCAATAAACCTTTGGAAACATTACACTTAGAACTATTTAAAGATGCTATATTAAAATCTCTCCAGATAAAATAGTTTATGTTCATTATAAAGAGATGAATATTTCTATTTTTAATGAAATAAAAATTAAGTTGTTCATATTAGTTCTATTTAGAGAAATAAAATGGATGTTCAGATTTAAAGACTTTAAATGTAGTCTATACTTAAATGTAATCTATAGTTGAAAAGACACAGATAAAACATACTGACAATACAAAAAATAGAACATGACTCTAAAACTTAAGTTTATTGGGACAAGGATACAGTTGATATTTTAGTTAAGCATTTTTCTTCAGTCTTCCAAGTTTTAAGTATGTGATCATTATTTAAGCAATTAAGTATGTAACCAAGTGGACCCAGACAACTGTGAGCTGAAAAATGATAATACCAAATCCCATTTGGTATCACTTAAAGAATATAAGTTCTGATGCATTAAAATTCATCTCATTCTTAAAATAGTGAGAGCTAAAAATTATAAAATTTCAAGATAATATTCAATTTGAGGCAACAGTAAACCTTTTTTAAGTATAAAGCATTGAGATTTTCCCTTAGTTTTTAAAAGTTAAACATAATGCCTAAAGCCAAAACACATCATGAAGCTATCAACAGCAAAGCTGACAGTTATGCTTATGAGTATGCTTATTGTAAATAAATTTTCAAGACATGATACAGGATTTAATATATACAATTTTGCCACTGATTGATTTTAACAGAGGTTGACAGCTGCTATTATCAAAATCCATCAGCTGTGGCTAATTTGTTACATTAACAGGTGAATCTGTAAGTAGATACTTTGTTTATGCTAACTCATACCATGTAACTTAATATTCATACAAAGGCTGTAACAATTGGGTCAGAGGGCATGGACTCAATTATGTCAACCTTGTAAAAACTACACCTCTTTTTTCCCATATTAACAGAATAATCTTAAGCAAAAAGACTGATGTGCTTTAAAACATCTAATTTCAAACCTCATTCATTTCTGTATATAAGGATTATGCATTCTAAGACATGAAAAGTATTAAGCAAGTCAAAACTCTGACTAAAACTTGGCTATTCTATCATTTGATCTACATGAAATACTGCTTATACATTTACTGTTATTTTACATCCTTAGTATGTTGACAGGAAAGGATTTCTTCCCGCAGGTATGGTTATTGTGGATCTCCCACCGCCAAGACACCTCCTCCAAAGTCCATCATGTTCTTCCCAAACCTCCATTATGCCTCTCAGATTTGTGATCAACTTTCAAGGACTGGTTTTAAAGTTTGTCTCTCTCTGACCGTCTGCTTGCTTTCTCTATATCTCACATGAGATCATCTGGTGTTTACCTTTCGGTTTCAGTTTGTGTAAGCCCTTCCAGCTCTATCAATGTGATTACGCATTTCATGCTACTACAGTAGGTACTGGTTGTTCTGTACAATTTCCAAGTACAAGATACGGAAATGTTTTGGAAAAGACCATAAGGATCAACTACAGGGTATATACTTTTTTTTTTTTTTTCCTTATTTAGGATGAAAGGGAATATGCATTGTAATATTCTGGGTATTTTCACTGAACACAAAGAATATAACTATTACTGTTTATGTAGGTTCATAAAGCAATTTAATCATTTAATATAAACACATGCCAATATATTTAAAAAGGTCTAATGGTTTGGTTGTTTTCACTAGTCTTATGTCCACCAAGAAATTATGTGTGAAATGTGCACAATGGCAGACACACCTGCACTCAGTAGGTACACAAATATCTGAATATTTTAGTATTCAAAGGAAAAACAAGGCTTCCTAAAAGCCTAGAAAAGAAAAAAAATCTGCCAATCAAGCTGAAGCTTGTTTTTTCCTTAATGTACATCAGTCACTAAGATTGTTGTGAACTTTAACGTCTTATCACCACCATACAGATGTATTTTTTAAAAAAGTTTAAAGTGAGAGTTAAATTTTATGTTCCTTTTGTCTTATTTTAGCCATTTTTGATATTTTTTCTCACTTAAGTATATGTATGCCATTAAGGAAAAAAACAATGCAAACTAATCATATTTGTTCTTTTCCAATTTTGCACTCCCCTTCTATAACACTGAGTAACAGTTATACATGAGTAACTGTTAGGTAGCTTTATTCTGCCTTCTTCCTAGGGGGATTTCAATTTGAGTTAACCCATCTTTTATCTTACTAATTCTCTACTCCTATCTTAAAATAGAGTAACAACTGTTTAAAAAGAGAGCATAATGAGGTCATCAAAGAGATACTTCACTTCTAAATCAAAAAAAATATTAAAACATCTAAATGGAGCCTTCCCTCTTGGGGTAAAATCTATTTTGGTTATTCCACAAAGTTAATAACAGCAGCAAACTGAACAGATCTTATTAAGTTCTCAAATGTCTGATTCTCAAAGTTTTTTTTTAAGTCTGGAACGGGAAAAGGCTTAGAAAAATGATCAGCACAGAGTAAAGAGCTAAGATGCAAGGCAATAAATTTTAAAGACAAAAAGTAGAAGGGGAGCAATAATTGACTTAGCAGAGGAGGAAACAATGTCCAGGTGACTCTCAGATACCACTGAGAACAGACCCTGGGAAATGAGCGACAGGTACTTACCAAGCATCAGGGGAGGACTGGAGATGAAAACTAAGGAAGGGCTGAGGGCCCCGGGGGTCATACCTGCTTTCCGCCAATAGGAGACTCAGTAAGTAGCTCTATCTGTGCCCTGCCCACCTCCCAGGGAATAGTACTCCTATGAGACTGACCGAGAACAGCTGTTTATTCAGTGTCCCCAGCTCAGCAGTTTGATGACAGAATCTACTAGTGCACCAGAAGGTTTTTCTCGGAAGAAGCTGAATAACCCTAAATAACTCAAAAACTGACAGCTGCAGGCCCCCAAAGAAAAAAGGCACTGATGTAGTCCACTTACAATATCTGATTAAGTTCACAAAGCACAATAAACAGGGCTGGGCAAACTGTACAGTAAAATGTTTGCTTCTTAAGGCCCATGACCTAAGAATGGTTATTATAATACAACAAAGACTATATGTGTCCCCCAAAGTGTTAAATACTTATTAACTGGCCCTTTGGAGTTTGCCAAGCCCTATACTACAAGATTATAGACTAAAATTATCACATAAATTCTAAAGCTAGTAAAACTATCCAACTGGATATATGACAACTTTAAAACTTAAGACCCTGCATTTCTAAAGAAGCTATGTACAATACTAGCAAGGGCATAACAAGAAAGAGGTTGAGGAAACTAACAGGAGAGGTGACTGAAAATGCCAGAACAATCGCTAAAGATCAGACCTAGAGTATACAATATAGAGCTCACACAAAGACAGTGCACTACAGGGGAAGTGTCTGATACTCTGCCTTTGTAGAAAACCAGAAACAGTGATATGCTGTTGCCACAGGTATATAAAGAACTAAGCAATATTTTTAAACTATAGAAGTCAATTATTTAACAAGGAAATGTCATCCTAGTTGACTATGTATCTTAACAATAATATGTATCATAATATTATGAACAGATATTTATTGAGCCCCAATTATGATATAAATGCATCTAACATAATGGGGTGACAAAGTATGGACACGGGTAAGAAACAGGGAGACTGCAAGAGCTAAATTGTCATGTGGAGAAAAATTATAACTAATATAAAAGATATTTGGTATATCTTTTAAAACCCAAAATTCTAGGCTGATAGCTGGTTAAGAATTTTTTGAGTATTTTTTCCTAATTTCATGGCTTAGAAATAATACGTTTCATATAAGAGGCAGTTGAATTTAAGTATCAAAATCTACAGTAGCGGTCACTCAAATGTGGTATTTGAAAGTCATTATATACATACTTCATTGTAATTTAAAAACTTCCTTATTACAACTTAGATCTGAAAGAATAATCATGATCCCAGTCTTCTGCTCATTCCCTACCAATTTCCTACTATACATTTTTCATGCTTATTCATAAATTTGCTGAAAATATTCTTAACTTGTACTTTTTTAAGTCATAAGTGCTTTCGATAGTACTTTCTTACTTTGCAGGTATTGGGAGAGGTCATCAAGAGGATGCAATGGCTGGATCACCCAGCCAACTGAAGGGCCTCACCTTCTGACCTGCATCTTGCTGGCTTTTCTTGCTCCCAGAATTCAGCCTTGAAATAGTGTCATGCAAACGAGATGATAGGGTGGTACATGGGACTGAACCCAGCTCTGCCCTCTGTACTCCACGGTGCGATAGGTGCAGAAAACTACTTGGTCTTGCCACTCCCCAGACTGGAATGGTTTACTGACTCTTTCTGGCCTCTCCCTGTGGTCTGTGTCCGGGGGCGGGGGGGCAGTTCCTCATTACACCTGAGAAGCCGCAACTCCAATACCAGGGCTTATTTTCCAACTCTGAAATTTGTTTTGATACATAGTGTACTTTAAAAGAATAATTGTCCATAACCACTCTTCTGTCATAGTCTCCTCCAACAGGAAGACCACTTTTGTGATCATTTTACTCATCTGCTTCAGTAAAAAGAATAATGTTTTTTGATATCTTGGCATAGTCTTAAGAAATACTCCTACTTAGATTAGTATTATATTAAAAGATTGGGTATTTTCAAGAGAATTACTATTCAGACTTAGTTTTTAATATCATAACTCATGAAGTCTCTCACAGCTTCATGAGAAGTTTATACATATATTTTCATCAGTTCCTATTACAATATTGTTGCAATTGTAAACAGGATCTTATAATGTAATTAATATTTTCTTATAATGCTATAAACCAATCCCACATAAATCTCTTATTTAACTCTTAAGACCATTACTAATCAACTGAGTTCTTGTTAAACTTGTCTATCAGCCTGCTTTCTAAAGTTTCTTATCTTTTTGTATTGGCTAGAACTTCTAAAATTAAACACAGTGGTGTAAGGTACTTTATGTCTGTTATTATCATGTCAGTTTTTAAGTGTGCTATCAAATGACTCACATACGTGAACTGAATTGCTCTCATGTACTTTAAGACAACTTTGGCTGGGGTGGACAGTGAACATACCTGTTTTTATGAAAAGTATATGAACATCTTTTGAGTTAACTTCTTATTCAGGTACTAAAACATTCATATTTCCTATTTGTAAATTTTATTACTTGATGCCCCGAATATGCTAAGCTAGAAATCTGCCCGGGGTTAAAAAAGTAAATGGATTATGACTGAATGCCTGTGAAGTTTTACTATATGAATTCTGTGAGCTCCCTTCAGAGTAGCCATAGGGCATTTCTACTCACATTTTAGTTCAATGGTCATACATTTGCTACAGAAGCAACTTCATGTAATCTTTATCTCCAACTATGTTGAGTTATGTAAGATTTTCTTACAACTTTTATCAGTATTTTTGATGTAAAAGATGTACAACTAACTCACCTTATTTACTTCAGCAATTTCCCTCCTCTCTTCACTTGCAAAACGAGGTGGGCCAATCCGGTCATCATTCTTTGAGCCATCTTCTTCAACGTATGGAATAAGTTGCTGGAAGCAACAAAAGTTAAATCAAAAATCAACTGTATTTTAGACTTTAATTCAGGTGATGGCTGAGTTAAATAACAGCATTAGAAGTTTATTATTTTAATGCATTACATGCATTAGCTGTTGACATCCCTTAGGCAAAACAACATTTATTAGCTGTCTCATACAACTAAGTAATATCTAATTCAGCTTATTTTATACACACACACATATCTATGTGTGTATATACACACTTCATTAAAAAAATTGAGAATTAAAAATCTGGAAATTTTTAAAATGGGGGATCACAAATAGATTGAGACACATTGTGTATTCATCTGCCACCTCCCATTAACTTGCCTCTACCGGAATGGGATCCATCCCGCCGCAGTTCTCATTGCATTTGTCATACACCAATCTCAGTTTCCTAAAGAGAATAGAGAGTTGGCGAAGATGATCTTGTAGCTTAGTTAACCGGTCTTGATATGTCCCAGTATGGTAAGTGACACCATTTGGCAGCTATGAAACAAAACAAAATAAATAAAATCAAGATTTTCCATAAGTAAACCTAGCCAAAAACAAAGCACCTTTCTAAAAAGCGCTGCATAAAAGCATAAAGTGCAGTTTTTGAAAATTCGGAGTAGTACACGCTCACTTTTTAGCTCCTTGGTATACTGTTCCAGTGCTGTGAAACAGACCTAGAGAAAAATGTACCTCTGACAAGCTGAAATACTTTCCCCTCTAATTTTCAGGTATACCATAACTTTAAAGAATGTCCAACTTTAATATTAAAGTTATATAAAAGGCAGCATGCTAAATTCAACCAAGAAGTTAAAAATGCAGTTTAAAAAAAGGAGATCAGGACTTTTCAGCAACAGAAAAGTATGCTGGTGTTATTGCAACCACTCAAAATACCTTAGCAAACTACATTAAGATACTCATGGCATTAGAATGTAAGGATGTCACCGAAAATTTTACTTTAAAAAGAAATCAGGGCCCTCCCTGGTGGCATAACGCATTAAAGCACAGCACTATGAAGCTATCCGCAGTCACTGCAGCATGTTTTCAATCCCTGGCCAGGGAGGTGACCCACATGGCGCAGCAAACCTCTACTGTGTCGCCTACTGCTCCCCTCAGCAGTGTACTTTCCCAACTGTTCTGCTCCCCACTTTATCTATGGTGACTCCTCTCAATGCCCCTTTACCGCTAGCCTGGTTCTGTATCCATAAATAAATAAATCTTAAAAAAAAAAAAGCAATCAAGAGTAAGTCAATCTCTACTTGAACATCATTAATTACTACATGGAACAGCTGTGATCATTATCTACAAAAAATAAAACATGTAAGCTTCTGAGATAAAGATTTTATTTTTGTATAGAAGAATTAAAGTGCAGGTCAGAGGTGGGGGGGGGCGGTGAGAGGATTCACCATAGACAGTGTGGGGAGCAGAAAAGGCTGACTGACACCCACTGCTGAGGGGAGCAGTAGGCGGGACCAACAGAGGTCTCCTGAGCCATGTGGGCTCCCTGAGCGGGGATAGAACTCAGGCCATCATGATGGTAACACTGAGCCTTAACCCCTGGGCCAGCAAGGAGGCCCCACTTACATCCTTTTAATTTAGGAGGTGCATTAAGAGAAGCTAAAATTACATATTGAAATGCTAAAATCAGAAAAATGGAAATGGGCTTTTAGAACTTACATATCTTTTACATCCCTTTTGCTCCTCATGAGCAAAATCTTTCTGCCCCTCGTATTTTAATTCTACACTTTGAATCTGTATCATCCTAATATTAGAATTAATGTTTACACTCAGTTTCCTTGTGTAGGAGTTGCTTTCATTGTTAAGAGACCACGTGTCTGCTTATCTTGGGACCAAGACACTACTTTAGATTAATCTATTTTTTCTAAATTTCAGTTCATACTTCTTTCCTAAGCAGATGAGATAGGAATGTAAACAAAAACTGCACGGTATATTCAAAGAAAACAGGACACCTATCATTAAAACCATAAACATAAGAAAAAGCTAAAACATAATTGATGAAAGATGTAATGGGATATAGGCTTGAATAATTTATTTTCTATTTTACTTGCACTTCCAAATTTCCTGTATGTAATGGTTTGTAAGTTAAGGAGATAATGTCTTATTTCAAATAATCTCAGAAGATTTATTAGGATTTTCAGAAATTCTGAAGCATTAAAGCCTCTAAGGCCAATACCTCAAGAAATGTGATAAAAGCCAAAAGGTTGAATTAATCTTAACAGTTTTAAGGAGTAAAGCATTAAGAGTTCACCCCTCCCCCAATCCAATATACAATTTCTCCTTATAAACCTTAGCAGTTTATGAACTTTCAGACTAACCAGAGAAAATTTCAAGGGATCCCTACTTTCTTGTTTGGGTAATAAGTATAATGATTAGGTGTTTCAGACAGAAACACTACCTTTAAAAAGATATTTTCTAAGATTTACCACTTTGTCCACACTTTCCATGAAGTAAAAACTGGACTTATTTCACATTTGTGTTGCCATATTTAACACAATACACATAAAGAGAAGGTTTTAATTCTCTTCAGTGAGTTATTTTACTTGTAAATCTATAGTCAAAATTCACTAAAAGTGTGTTTCACGTGAAAGAATTCTTGATAAAACCTTTCATAATGGAAAGCAAAATTTAATAAATGCCAAGAATCACCTTCCTGAAATTCACCTTTACAGTAAGGTTGGGTATCACATTTTCATATCAATATCAGCTTCTTAAAGAAGGGAAAGACTAAAAAAAATAATGACTGCACATTTTTCATGTGTCAGGCACTGTTCTAGAAGCTGCACTGAATGCAAAAGACAAGGTTCCTGTACTACAGAGTATAGTTGTAATAGTGCCTAAGATGCTTGATATATATATAATGTAAAAATATAAATCATAATCACTCATGAATAATAATCTATACACATATGATCACATCCCTAGACACTAATAAGGCATTCAACTAAATTCAGTATCATGAAAACAAATATGAAAGACTTGAAAACTGCCAACATGATAAAATACATTTATCTCAGTAAAAAAGTCAGTGTCATTGACTCTCCCTGGTGGCGCAGTGGGTAAAAGCACAGCATTAAGAAGCTAAAGCCACTTCATCATGAGTTCAATCCCTGCCCTGGAGGTGATGTGCATGGCATGGCAGCCTTTCCTGGCCCACCCACCCACTGCCTCTCTCAGCAATCTGCCTGTTCTGCTCACCACTCTGTCTCTGGTGAATCCTCTCACCACCCCTGAAACTCTGGCCTGTACCCCAGTTCTGTATGCATAAATAATAAAGCTTTAAAAAAAAAGTGTCATGATTAGTGTGAAAACTGATATCATTCCCTATACCAAAACCCCTACTACCAATAAATGCTGTTCTGGAAGCACAGGCCAATGCAATAAGAGAAGGGGGGAAAGTTAGAACATTAAAAAGGAAGTGATATGACAAAATGCTGCTATCAGTAAAAAGTCAATGAGATGAGTACAAAATATATAGGTGATCACCATCAAGACAGCAACAAAGGAGGGCTTTGTACTCCCTCATAAAAGGAACCCCTGTTAAGGAACAGTATCTCATTTAGGTGTGAAGTGTGCCCCTGCCCTGGCCTCAGAGACCAACACAGACTACCTCTGACCGGATGCCATGGAGATGCAGGCATCTGAAAGCCAAGGTGATGGAATGCTGGAATGGGGGTGGGTGGGGGACTCAGATGGCAGTGCGGTCCAAAGGTCCTAAGAAGGCAGAACAGAGACCTGTGGAGGCACAAACACGTGGCCTGTAGAGCCTAAAGCAGAGCAGCTGAAATGCTGCACAGGGCAGGGACCCCAGCAAGGACAACGGAGACTGAGGTACAGACTACACTTCCCTCCCCACCCCCAACCTGAGATCTGACCAGTTTGTGAACAACCAACAACCAGACAATCTCAGATTTACAACCCTAAAGAAGAGGGTAACACTGGGACCACACACCTGAACCAGCACTCCCTCCTCAGCACATCCACAACAGGTGCTGCCCCCCCCCCAAATTCTCCCCTCCCCATCTGCCCCATGAATACAACAGCAGCTTAACTACCATCTCCAGGTTTCCCAAAGCAGATACAGAAGGCAGCAGTAACCAAAAAAAAAAAAAAAAAAAAAAAAAGTCATAGCACCACCTGCTGGAAAAGAAAAATACATGCAGCTCAAGTTTAAGCTGCTGAAACAACATAATTTTTTTTTTTTTTTGATTACCAGAAAAAGCAAGAAATTATCTCAAAGACTGTAGTCTAGTTTCATGGGAAGTCACCAGGCAATCTGAGACTTCAATGTAAATGGCATGACAGGAAAGAATACTTTCCAGAAACAAAACTTTAGGCTATTATGATCTAATGGATAATGAATTCTAGATACCACAAAGAAACTCAGACACAAATAAACTCAGAAAAACAATTCAATGAATTCAGTAATAAGATTAATGAACAGAGAGACTAAAGTTTTAAGTAAAAAGTTAACAGATTCAGAATGTGAAGAACTCAATAAATGAGATCAAGAGTATTACAGAAAACTGTAGAATAACAGACCTAGTGGAGTAACAAACCCCAATGAGTTTGAAGATAAAAGCTAGAAGTCATTCAGGTAGAAGAAGGAAAAATAAAACTAAAAAGATGAAATATCCAAACCTATTAGGAAAGATGCCATAAGGAATCCCAGAAGAAAAGGAAAAGGCAACAGAGATCTTATTAATCTACATAATAATTCATCTACATAATAACTGAGACCTGCCCAGGCATGAGGAAGGAACTGAATATACAAGTTAAAGAAACTAATACAACAGGTAATTACTTAAGTGAAAAAAGCCCCACACCAAGACAGTAGGGAAATTATCACAAGCCCAAGCCCAAGAATATGAATAATAAAGGCAGCAGCAAGGAAAAGTAACAGATGAAAATACCACCCTCAGATTACCATCAGATCACTCAGGAAAAAGAAAAAAATCTACAGGCCAGGACAAGTGGAATGACATTCAAAATCCTTAAAGATAAGACCTATCAGATTAAGAATGCTCTATCTGGGGACTCCCTGGTGGTGCAGCGAGCGAGCACTGCAAGCTCACTGCAGCCACTTCAGCATGAGTTCAATCCCTGGCCAGGGAGCTGACCCACAGGGCGCAGCAGAACTCTCCAGTTTAGCCCACTGCTCTCCCCAGGAGTGTATTTCTGTGGATCTGCCTGTTCTACTCCACTCTGTCTCTGGTGAATCCTCTCACTGCCCCTGTACCTCTGTTCTGCATAAATAAATAAATCTTTTTTTAAAAAAAATGCTGTATCTGGCAAATTCTCTTTCAAATATATAGGCAAAATAAACACTACCCCAGAAAAATAAAAGCTGAAGGAGTTTTACACCACTAAAGCCCCCTAACAAGAAATGCTGAAAGATAATTTACAAAAAAAATCAAACAAGGTGATAAACAGAACCAGAAAGCAAACCAGAAACAGGCAGTAAGCATGTACTCACATAA